CTCTTGGGTACGGCTGTCCGCTTGCGTCGTGAGCCGCGCAATCACCAGCTTTGCCAGAGGGTACCGAGAAACTTGAGTCTGTACCAGAAGGCCACAAAAGAGCAAGCACGCCGTCTAAGACTGACCGTCTTGACCCCGAAATCTGGGACCCTACGAATGGATTAGCACTCATATAATTAAACAGGTTCCAGAAACAAATAGGTTTAAGTAGAATTAAGAACATACTCACCACTTTAGTGTGGGTACTTTTGAACAGATAATATACTAAGAAAATCAAATCACACAGCAATCAAAACACTATATAAGATCGGAAGGCACGAGATAGCAGTGTCTCCCGTGGTAGAAAGCCGGACTTATATATCCTAGGTTCAGGAATCTTCCAGAAGTTAACCCCTCCTCATCATTTCACTTTGACATTTAACATCAGCGAACACAGAAGATCAAAACTGTAGTTATAAACTACCTTAGATAAATTAAAAACAATGCAACGCGGCTAATAGATGTAGCTTTTAACAAGACCAACAAATGTACAAAAAAATTACTGTTACATACTATACCACGCTGGCCAGACGGGTTGGTATAGGGTTTGTGTCAAGTTTTCCTTCTTTTTGCAGTGCTGGTGTCCTGCGTTGTTTTGCGCCCTTAATCGGCTTTTACGACACCCACGGGATAAATTGGGGTAGTGTCATTTCGTATTCTTAATCCGTCACTACACGGAAGAGCTTTAACAGGCGCATATAATGCCCGCTGGAATGATTCCACGGCCTCAGTGAAAACCAGTGTTTAGCAATTATTTCCTTCCATTTTACCAAGTGAGTGACCGGAGCCTCAAACACCTAAATTCTAAGGAGAACTAAATTGTGCCATAAAAATGCAAAAGTTTGCTTTTAGTTCCTAAATTAAAATAAAGTCAAAGTATATGTAAGTACAGATAATATTTTTTTGGCAACCCTCCCGCAAATAAACATTCATCAAAGAGAATTTAGATTTGCAAGATGGTAGACCACGATAAACGTTTCCAAAAATAGGAACACGATTCTTACCATTTCGATTTGATTCATCTATAGCCATGTTTTTGAAGACAATCGATGGCAAATAAAAGATTTATCATTCATGACCAAAGTGCCAGTAGAACTAATAACTATTATTGAATAAAGTTCATTTAGATTTAGAATGCACAGGTGTTGGTAAAACTTTCTGAAACTAATATTGTACGCATAGGATAATAGAAAATCGTGAAGAAAATTTATATTTGTTTTTAATATATAGTAAAAGTATATCGCAGGCTACCCTTTTTTTTCCGTGCGGAAATCCCCTCGGATACCACCTATCGGTGGCATGTCGGACTCGAACCGACTAAAACCGCACGCCGTCTCGAGTACTAATAGCCGGGGAATCAGGTATACCCTAGAAAGGAAGTCCCTGGTGCCCCGACATACCTCGGGCCATCTACAACAAGTAGACGACCCCCCCCGTGTGGGAACCCCATGTTCCCTCTGCTTCCTGGAAGCGAGCGCGCTTCGCAACGCGCTCGCCGCCACCCCGGCCTGCTTCTGCTAGGGTGACAGATGGCCTCACCGGTCACCCCCAGGCCTGCGCTTATGGAGGACGGAGGTCGTTCTGCGACCTCCGGCGCCTGAGTCGCCTGCGGTACCTGGCCCGTTCCCGGGCCTGGCGGGCCGGGAGAGTTCTAAACCTCTCCCGGTCCAGCTCCGCCGTCTCCTTCGCGAGGAAACTTGCTCGCAGAAGGAGACGCCGGAGTTCCACGCACTCTCGCTCCGCACGATAGCCGCAATCAGGCTATCGAGCAAGAGAACTCCCACTCCGATGGCCGCCACGAGGTCTCGTCTGCTCAACCTACGCCGGGCACTCTACCAGCGTTTGGAGAGCCGTGTCCACGGTCTGGCCATCGCAGTGGTGGCACTTAGGCGTTGGCTCCTTGCGGATCAGACACAGGTGATCCCGGAAACATATCGCAGGCTACCCTAATTTAAATTAGATCTCTACAGACAACCTTTATACGGATCTTCCATATAAAGATTGCCTGTAAGAGATCGCCGTAAGTGATAAGACCGCCCATTGTTATACCGAAATGTATATGATATCTGTACAAATACTGTTGCGGTGTACAATAAAGAGACAAATAAATAAAAAAATATCAAACATTTTGCACAGACTTCAAAAAAAGGAAAAGGTCAATTCTCTGTTTTTTTTTTTGTATGTTGCCGAAGAACTCTGTTTTTACAAATCAATTTGGACAATTATTTTTGTATTTAAAAAGGTATGCTTCCTGTTTGACCTTACTCTAATTTGGTTGTAGACACATCGAAGGCGGTAAATTTTATTTTAAAGGTAATTATTATACTTACTACGGTCATGGTTGACATTCTGATGCATATAGGCACATATAAGACTCAAGCGACAACCTTAATCAAGGGAGTAAATCAATCTCTCAAATCAAAATAAGCCCTGAAACGTAGTGAAAAGGCTCAAATTTGGCAGATCGTTGATTTTACCAGATGAATATAAGAATTTTACATATACTATGGGGTATATATATCTGGTTGTAAAAGTCTTTTTTAACTGTGTTTGAGGGAGTGTTACTCTAGTGGGAATTTAATTCGGTGTGGTCGTTAAACAACTTAAATAACGTACAGCACACGTTATTTAAGTTGAAAGTTTTACTGCAAAAACTAACTCTAGGTACTTGTTAGACACTGATAAAACAGAAGTGAAACCCATTTATGTGATAAGGGGAAAACCTAATCATTTTAACGGTTCAAAACTCGATGGCTTATAAATAAAATGTATTATTTTAACATCAGCTTTCTAGTTGTTTATAAATTAAATTTAGTTATAAATTGGTTATCGTTAAGTTTAACTTGCAGGGGAGAGTTATATGCACCAGGGACTTCCTTTCTAGGGTATACCTGGTTCCCCGGCTATTAGTACCCGGCGACGGCGTGCGGTTTTAGTCGGTTCGAGTCCGACATGCCACCGACAGGTGGTATCCGAGGGGATTTCCGCACGAAAAAAAAAAAAAAAAAAAAAAAAGGGGAGAGTTATATAATTACCTCCAACTAGAAATAGTACTTTAAAGTTATATATGCAGTAAGTTTCTTGTTAGGACTACGCAACTATAAAATTGTAGTGTTGTTTACGACTGTAATTGATTTAAATCAACTGCTCGGATCGACTCGACTGCACGGATGGCGTAGTGGTTTAAGCGGTTGCCTTGCCGCTTCCAACTAAGTTGTATTTAAAAAAACAACATATTGAATTAACAATAAAATGTAGAGCAGTTGTCGTACATACACCTTTGTCAAATAAAAGGCTCAGACTAACTGTTTACTATAGAGGTCGAGTATAATAATAGTTTTTTTATTGGTTTCATGTTACATTCAAAAGTTTGACCTCCATATATCCAAGAATTGAAGTGTTCATTGTCAATAAATGTCATTTGTAAAGGATTCGAACCTGGAAAGCGTAAATAATAAACCTATTTAGGGTTGATATTAATCAAATGTTAGTCGTTTGACACATGGTGGATGATATTTCAGTATGATATAGAATATTTCTCTTGAACCAATTAGATGAAAGAAGAAGTTTCCAGGGTAAGGGCAAACACAGTCTTATTTCGTGAGTTTGTTTGCCCTTTTCTCATAAAGCTGGCTCATAAGGCTCTTTTCTCATTTTTCATGGGTTGCCATTGGAAAGGGACGTTTGTACATCAGCACAGGCATATAAGGTTTCTCTCAGAGTTTTTCTCTCCACCCGCCATAACGGCCAGCGAGGAGGCGACGTCCGCGTGTATATGGAGAATGTACTAGAGGATTTTGCCCGCGCCATTGCGGCCTGCGCTAGGAGGGGTCCGGATGTCCTAATAATAGCAGTTCCCGGATCTCCTATTACAGGCGCAGAGTGGCGCACCGTGTGGTTTTAGTCGGTCCGATTCCGAAACACCCCGCCACAAACCTCGGTGGGATGACGTCAAGAGGGGGTTTCCACACGTAAAAAAAGGCATATAAGGATCAACTTCCTTTTATATTTGACAAAACAGATTGCTATTGTGTATTTTGAGTCTATTACTTTAGAGTCTAAGACGAGTTCAATTAGCTTTGGAAAAAAATACATGAAATAGAGCTATATACCTATATTTACAACAAGTTGCCCAAATATGTTCAATCTGCTGATACTATATAGATATTTAAAAGTAGATTAAAATAATTCCTATTACATAAAGCTTACTATATATATATTCTATTCAAGATTACTTAAATGATAAATTAACATAATTAGTGTAACACAACATATTATTTTATCTACTGTTACTATCTTGACAATTATAATCTACTTTTGGCAATTTTTAAACCTTTTTTTTGTCAATTTTAATCTATGTTCGTGAGAGATTAAAACTTTTTTTCTGTCATTTATTAGTAACACACTGTTATCTATTGACATATTTTGATAATGTACTGTACTCAATTTAATTAATTCATGACATTTCTGTATTTCTCGAAACTGTAACTAACCAATGTTTAAGCAAATAAATGACTTTTTTTATGAAATAGGGGGCAAACGAGCAGACGATTATGAATATGAACACTGTAACAGTATTTTCTCAATGATAAAACTATTAAACCGATTACTCAACTCGATTATCAGCCGTCATTTATTCGTTCATTCGGCCGTATACGTCATTTGTCATCATTAACGCCCACACAAATATTCTATAATCATTTTGGTTTACGATTTTGATGACCATTCATTTATCCCCTATTGTCAATTTAAAAGTGCAGTATTTGATACTAGAATACAGCGTTACTTGCTTGAAGCGACATTACAGCTTACAGCCATTTTTAACTCACACATAAGTATTTATAATAGACTTATACATTACATATCTAAGAATATTTTTTGAATGTAGGATTTCAGATGTTTGTCTTTCTTCCTTTCTTAAACAGCTTTTCCCCAAACTTATTTTATCTGTTGTTCTCCAGGGCTGTCCAGAGTTGCTATCGAAGCAGATAATCTGGCAGACGCTGCAGGGTGTGGCGTACTGCCACAGACACAATTGCATCCACCGAGACGTGAAACCGGAGAACATATTACTCACCAGCGAGGGCGTTGTCAAGCTCTGTGACTTCGGCTTCGCGAGGATGATCAGTGCGTGGCATTTTTATTTTTAAAGATTGTTAGACTGCACGAATGGCGTAGTGGTTTAAACGATCACCTCGCCGCTTCTTACTGCGCGTGATCCAAAAATGCTTGTTCTAGTGTTTTTTGTTCCCCTTTCATTAATGTTTGTACAGACCCCCGCGACACAGGATATCTTGCTAGTGCGGAGGTTGTCTTTTAAAAAAAAAAGACAGGCAACTCTTTTTTATACGTCTTTATTAGAATTTAAGTAGATTTAATTAATTGCGGCTCTTCCAGGATACGTCAGTTATGACTAATCTCTTACGACATCACAGGGTAAACGATGTTGAATAGCGAACATGTCAAATAGTAGTTTGGTTAAAGTTAAATGGGAGATATTAGCGTCTTTCGGGAAGTTTCGGCATTTGTTAAAAATTTTTTTTGGAAATGGTTATTTAGAATTAATGTTAGGCCAAACGCAATCGTGGTCATAATTTATATTTACTTGCTGGAGGTGGTGATGATTACCCTTAGGCATTTATGAGGCAATTCCACTGTTCTTTCTTCCTCCCTAATCCTCTCCCTTTCCTCTCCTTGACCAGGTGGCAGCTGTTCATCGGAGTACTCGGTGCACACCATGATACCCTTCGGCGTGGATGTGCGAAAGAGAACTAGTAACTATCTAATTTTGATAATGTATCTTGTAGCTGTTGATTAAGGTAGCAAATTCATTAGCAGCCAGTTGCAGTTGTAGCTTCTGCTGAGACATAGAAGAATCGTACAAGATTACATCTATCAGGTTTTATTATAGGTTTTACTGCAGTGCCTGAATGCCAAGGTTCTTTATACTCACTATTATGTAGCTTAGTCAAGATAGGCGTTTCATGATGCGAAAACTTGATAGTTATCGGCTACCTGATCTACTTAGTTCATGCTATTTTTGGCGTGGGTATTATTACACTTCCTTTGAAGTTTATTTATAGGATAATTCCCTAATTAGAATATGGAAAAGAAAATATGGAATAAGGAATTAGAGATGCAGTTTTTGGAATACTCGTAAGCGAATGACCTGTTGATCTAGTGGTTAGTGACCCTGACTGCTACGCCAGAGGTCGTGGGTTCGATTCCCACCCAGAACAAATAATTGTGTGATGAGCACGGTCATTTGTTCTATGTTTGGGTGTACTTAATCTATAATATGTATGTATTTAAAAATATATAAGTATGTTTATCAACAGTCTGGTTTCCATAGTACAGGCTCTGCCTAGTTTGGGATCAGATGGCCATGTGTAAAATGTGTCTGAATATTATATTGGAACGAAGTTCCTTATCGCGCGTTGTGAAAGGGGGCTAGACGGAAAAAATTCTTACGAAAATTGGTCACGACACTTTTTATTTTGAATTGTCACTTGTCAGTCATTCAGCGCCATCTATCGAATAGTAAAATTAAAATTTATGTTCTTAGGTTGAGCAAAAAATATTGTATTCGACATCATTTCTCAAGGAGATTTTACCAATGTATAAATTGTTTTAATTAGAAACCAACTGAAAAATATGTAGGTAATAGCCGCTTTCATAGATGGCGTTGTAATTAAAATCCTGTCTAATCAGTTTTACTCGATCGTAACAACTTCGTTCCTATCGGGTGTCCCACGACACCACACGGCTTTTTTATTGCTCTAATTTGGTTGTATGAGCATTTAAGGTGAAATAGTCCTAGAGATGAAATAGTGAATAGAGTGAACTTAGTGAACTGATGACCTGAAAATAATAAGATTTCTAAACGCTAATGCATGAGGAGAAGTGGGTGAGACAGAGACAGGCCTATGCACAGAAGTAGACTGCTACTCGGATTGATTGTGTTGCATAAATGTTATTGTACATACGTCAATATTCATATTACCGTGGGAGAGCCATTGCTTCGGCACGAATGGGTCGGCTCGAACGGAGTGATACCAAGGCCTCACAGAAAACCGGTGTTAAGCAATTCTTTCGTTACGTGTGTGAGGTGTGTGTGAGTGAGGTTACCGGAGCCCAAAACCCCCCTTCCGCTGACTCAACGGGAGGATCTCCAAGGGCGGCAACGCAACGCACTTGTGACTTTTGAGTTGCGGGTGTCCATGGGTGGCGGTAGTTGCTTACCATCAGGTGACCCATCTGATCGTTTGCCCCCTTATACCATAAAAAAAACCTAACCTGACGGATATTTAGGCATTTACGTGTAAATTATCCGTACTGAAAATCGAAACGTAATAAAATTGCAAAAGACACATTTGTATATTGATTAATAACTTAATTGACAGAAATGTTGAATGACTGAAATAAATGACAATTGATGAAATAAGATTGTAGATAATTGACAGAAATGTTGAATGACTGAAATAAATGACAATTGATGAAATAAGATTGTAGATTGTAACAGAGTGATTATGATAGAGGCCATTGAATTGAGCATTAACGTATTGGTTCAAAACCAGGTAGAAACATTACTGAACAAAAGTATGAGTAATTTCCTTGTCGATATATTTGTTTTCAAATTACATTACCCTACTTTATATGCATAAATGACAGGTCTTTAAAAACAGTTGTTCGTATGTTACACAGGTAACATTAGTAAGGTTTATTGACCACAGGTCAATAACGTTAGGTGCGGTTGTTGACGTGGAACTGTCTACATAGTTACTTATAATGTTTATCGTCCCAACAATAGAAAATACTATTTAATGTTCATTAACCTCTTTAAAGAAATGGTAAGTATTGTTAATTAAATGTATTTTCTTTTCATTTCGCTGCGCTTTTATGAATGTTTTCCATTAGGCCGAAATAATTTTTATTTCAACCACAACAACAGAAATAGATTATATGCGAAATCAGATGGAACAGTGAATTATGTACCTTAAATATAGGAAAATATAATCTAGGGCAACCAATCTCTGAAAATCTATATAAGTACGTATTTTATTGCATGAATTTCTTGGTGCTTTATAGACCTGTCTATATTACAAGCTCGATCTAGGTTAAGATTAACGATGCGGACCGTTTTCTAGGCTTTGGGTTATCGCCGATCGGCCCTTTGAGTCTCTGATTGAACCGCGGATATGGGGTTGTGTCGACGATATTTCCTAAGGGGCAAGTTACATAGTGTTGTGATGTATGATAAGGCATAACCATTAAAAATTGACTGTCGACTGATTGTTGTATTTGAAAAACCCAGGAGACATAATGCCTAAGAAGAGTTACATGTTAGATTTCTCGGAATACTTATATGTTTTTATTTATTTTCTATTTTGTATGTAATGTTCACCACGATATCCGTCCAATGGCGAATGGAATAGAAACATTTATTTGCAAAGAACGTCGTACATTTATGGATTATGCATGAAGTACTAAATCACACATTTCGCCAATATTTATTTGCAAATTTAAATTTAAATCACATCAAATTATAAAATTTAAAAATTGCTTTGGATTTCTGCGAACTTTCCTATGGATTTCTGTCATGGGCGCGGATATGACTGGTCAACGCATAGGTTTATATAGGCCCATACGTCTGGAATAAAAAAGGCTGTCTTAAACTTGTCGTATAAAATCACGATTTCAGCCCTGTAAAAAGATAAAATATTTATCTCTCTTTATTATTATCCGTGTGGTGACAGATTAACAATACGGAATGTCACCACCCCTATTTATCTCGTGGGTGTCGTAACAGACGACTAAGGGAGCAAACTACGCAGAACAACAGCACTGCAGAGAGAATCAAACTTGACACCAACCCTATACCAACCCGTCTGGCCAAAGTGGTATAGAAGGCCAAAACCTTCTTTCCAAGGATAGGCCTATGTCCAGCAATAGACTTTTAAAGGCTATTGATGATGATGATGATTATTCCGTTAATTACAAAGCATAGTTTTATTGTCAATCTATTATCTGATGTCTTAGCCCTACGCTCGTACCTATTTGATCAATCAAACTCCTATTTTCTTGATATTCTTTTATATAAATTTAAATACTTTTGATCAATAACAACAACAAAATTGGACAGACTTGCTACAGAGATTAGTAATTTCTCATAGTTTAATTCAGTGATCGTGAAGAACCAGTTACTGTCAAGAGATGTTTGGTGAAATTTATTAAACCAGACCAGTACCGATGAAATAATTGTATGTATAATGTTGTACCCATATAATTTACCACGGCTTCGCTCGCGTGTTTTCGCTCTTATTTCGTGTTTCTAACTTTGAAAATGACAAACTGCTACACAACCAGTTATCCTTCATTTTACCCCCTTAGGGGTGAAATATTCAAAAATCCTTTCTTAGTGGACGCTTACAATATGAAAAAGACCAGTTACCAAAACAAAATTTTAAGTTTGCGGTTTACGTTCTGCGTTGATGAATCAGTCAAACAGAGAGGGCAAGTAATTTCATATAATGTGTAGAAATAGGATTAATAATTATAGTGTAGGCTATAATTATTAATCCTATACTTATAATACTTATACTTATAATGATAGGGCACGAAAAGAAAAAAATATACCTTACGTATCGTAAAATCGTGGGAATAGCAACAGTTGTTCTCAATTATTATTAATTTAGCAATACTGAATAAAAAAGAACCTTTATTTATCATTTTCATATTTTCATAATGCTAAGTGGCAAAGAAATAATTTTCTATAGGTTGGTAAATAAATAATGGATACATTGGTAATTACTTAAAATACACACATATTGTAGATAAATTAGGGTGAGAATCGAACCCACGACCTCTGACTTAGCAGGTAGGACCACTAGATAGGTCAGTCGAATGTAATCAGTATGTAATTTCATTCAATGTAGATGACTATAGACCCTTTAATTGAACCACGCCTGCGGGGTTCGGGGGCGCAAACGTATGACGAGAACGGGGACCGGGAGAGGAGAGGGCAGCGGGCGATCGTAGCGTGATAAGAAGAAAGAAAGAAAGAAAATCAATTTAAAAGAAAATTATAATAATTTAAAATTTAAAGAAAACTTATTGCTGGGCTTAAG